GGGGTTTTCAGGCGATGCCCACATACACGCCAGCCCTGCTTCATGCTACGTCAAGAATGCAGTCTCCTGCGGGAGCATGGGTGCTGACGGGCTCTGTTTTGCCTGATCTGCACGCTGCTACTTTGGCTTGTCCAAACACAGCCTGGTATGGGCCTTTCATGATTTGGCGGCTCTGGTGGGGTATGTTACTCCTGATATCATCTCCTCTCCATTAGCTATTCTGCCGATTTTGTGGTGGAACGTGCCTGCTCTGCATGCGGATGTTGTTCATGTGTCTAGTTTCGATGCTCCGGCGCTTTTATTCAGGACGTTCAACAGTTGAATTCGGAGCAAATTGTTTGATGTCGTTTCCAATCAAGTAGCAGTTCACTGTAACTGTAACCTTACTACAAGCTCGTTTGCGCTCTGCAAAGGGCAGCCACCGAACAAAACATGAAAGTCCTTTCCACTTTGCTGACTTGTACATCTTTGCAAAACGTGATGTCGAAAGTGTCAAACGCAAGCAAGGCCAAAAAGCTGAGGGAAGTGCCCTAAGCCCGAGGAGCTGCCGCCTGCAAAAAACCGAGGATCGAATGTTTGCCCATGTTTGCCCATTGTGGCTTCTGAAAGACTGTGCTTCGGGCTGCGCGTGAGAAGCCAGGTTGCCTTGTTCGTAGGCCGAGCGCGCCTAGCAGCAGCAGCAGCAGCGTGGCATGCATAGCACACACCTTTTCCGCCTTCTACATCCTGCCTCGTGCCCTGACAGCACGTGGAAGGCCTGTTTATCATGAAAGTCAATTTCAGGTCTGGCTCCCGCATGCTGAGTTCCCGCATGCTGAGGGTGAGCAAGTCTCCTGGCCTCCATCACCAGATCCCAATCAACTTTGTCATTGGAATCCTGGAGCTCCTTGCGAAAACGAAAGATGATGGACGAGTTGGCAGTAACCTGTAACACGAAGCAGCAAGGCAGCAAGGCCGAGGAGTCCTCTGACAGAGAGCCATTCGCTTCGCGGCGCTTGTACATGACTCGCTTGGCAAAGAACGCCTGGATCTCACCAACAAATGGCAAGCATAAGTATCACGGCCAGTGGCCTTCCACAGCTCATCTTTGGTCAGGCTTCGGAAGTTGGATTCCTGCAATCCAATGCAAGCCCTCTCCTTACTGGACTGTTCGCAACTGCAACATCTGAAGAGAGCTCGCCACCCTTAATCTATCACCCCTCTAGGTGTAGTGTCATGCAGCTTGCACCACGCAAGCGCCGAACCAAATTCACAGATTGTCGCTCTTCATGCGCAAGAGAAGATCAAGAGAAGCGGGGCAAGCATGGCGTTTTTGTCCACTCACACGTTGACCTCGATGAGGCACGATACCTCCACCTGGGTCTTCTGAAATCTCAGCTCGCCGGGTTGATTCAGTGCAGCTTCCTCTGTATGTGCTGCTGATGATGGTGATAATGATGATGGAGGCGTTCGGCTGATGGAGGCCCAGCCAGGCTAGCAAAAGCCATCTCTTGACATCATGGCGCCAGCACTACAATCCTCCGCACCGATCTAGAACACTTCCACTGAACTGCTTCACGAGTCGATGTCTCCGTCCTGCGAGCCTTAGAAGCCATCTTGTGGGCCAGAGTCTGGTGAGCTCAATGGACTGTCTGGACCGCGAGACTTCAATAGACGGTTCCAGATCAAGCCCCAAAAGGTACTAGCATCTGGCGGCGCAGCACCTTCATATCGCCAGCCTAGATGGGTGCCACACTGTCTGCACATCCCTATTCGCCAAGCATATCCTGGAAACCAGGAGTCTGCTTTGTAGGCCTCACCAACCACTTTGGCTCCAGCTGCCCTCGAAAATTCGCCAATGTGAAACAAGTATCCATGTGGATTGAAGTGTCTGGAACTGCCAGTGCAGAATCTCAGTGCTGCTACAGGTGATCGGCATTGCTTGCAGAGCAGCAGGACATTACCCTCGGGACTTTGCGAGATTTGTTTCTCAAGTCGCAGCCTGGCAGCCTCTGTGTCAGCTTCAGAAATTTGTGGGGAGACCACACTGCCCGCACATGCTTCCACTTTGACCAACGATGACGAAGCCTTCCGCATCGGCAGATCAAAGACCTCAGTTCTGTTGATGGCATGTGGCATGGGAAACGTAGAGGTCCAAACTCTGCTTTTGCCAACCGCAAATGACATATGGGAACACATTCACCCCACATGCTCAGAAGCATCCCAGCATGACTGAGCAACTGAGGCCGGCACCAGACATGCCTGACCAGCCTGGGTTTGAGACCTTCAAATCTCGCACAGCACGCCTGACACGATCCATCTATGAGGACGGATTCCGAGCCTCCAGACCAGATGGGCACTACATAGCACACCTCATGTCAGCCGCCCGTTTTAATTCTTTACCACGACGCTCTCAACAAGCAATTTCTGCAATCTCTGTGGATCCGACTGCAGGCAAAGAGCACCTGCATGAACAGTTCGATTGATTTGATTGATGCGCACCTATGAACAGTTCAAGAAGGAAACAGGAAACTCCTAACAGCAACATCTGCAACCCATCTAGCCTGCAGGCAGATGCGCAGCAAAAACCGACAGCGAACAGTGACCCTCAGGACGTTGCATTGAAGAATATGCAGCACGAAGAGTGGTGCTTGACAGTCCGAGCAGCATCAGCCCACATGGATTGTTGGCACTCGGATGAGTCTCTACTCGTCGCGTCTGCTATTCTGCTTGAGAAAATTTTGGATGTACATGCAGCGGCTGCTGGTTCCCATGGCAACAGCCCACCATCACTAGAGTCCTCCAAGCCCAAGATGGAATGATACGGCGGCTGCACTCGTGCCTGCCGCCTGGGCCGTGTTTCAGGTAGCAGGTCCTGCACACAACTCTGAAAAACCGCGGAGCTTGCCTTGTCTTGGAGTAGAAGTACCTTTGGCGCGTGGAGGGCATCACACAGACCTTCAAGCAATAATTCACAATTCAACTGATATGCAAAACGTGCAGAGCACATCCAACCACGCAGCTCACAGCTTGGCCTGCCAGTCTAGCCCTGCCAGGATCTTGGATTCCTTGGACACAGTACATTGGACACGATACGCAATTGTAGGGCTGCTTCGGCTGGTCCTAAGACGGCTTTTGGGCCCCGCGCTGCCTCTGGAGGGAGTGGAGGATTTGCCTGTAATGACACAACAATAGAAGCTTTGCATTGCTAAAATTGGAAGTGAAGCCTCGCGCTCCTCTTCATCCTCCGATGGATCCTGTAATGACGACAAGCTGCACTCAGGTGCTGCACCAGCATCACCTGAACCCCTGCCGCTTTTGCCACTGCCTCTCCTCCACCGCCTCAGGCGCAGCTGCCTGGCCCTTTTTGCCCATCTTCTTATCGCTGCTGTCTAGGGCAATTGAGCCAAGATCAATTGACCGAAGGCAAATGCTGAGAATGAAAACTGCGCTCTGATCCTGGCATCGCTGCAACTTACCGATGTTCAAATTGGCAAGAATTCCTCGCAAAGGACTGCATCGTGTCCTTTAAACGTGAAGCATCTGTAGCCGCTCCCCACGCGACTATCAATCTGCCGTATGGGGCAAAGGCTTCAGCTGTTTGTCGTCCGTTCTCCTGCTTGTCCCCCGAATGCGGAAATTATTCAGCTCGATATGCGAACTGACAGATTACATGCGGATTTGAGAAGGTATGGGGTGCCAAAAAAAGTTGTGCAGCAAGAGCAACGACATGGCCGCCTCCCTTTTGCTTCTTGCGCCTTGGAGCCTGCGATTCCATCGCCTGGGATCATGAAGATTACCAAGCTTGCTGCATGCATCTCTGTCCCACGACGATTTCCGGACCCCGGACTTCATGCGCGTCATCTACAGGAGGAAATATCATTATCTGGGGCCGTGACTTCGCAGCTGTGGTCAGCTATGCGAGCGGCCCATGAAGAGCGGTGAGATGCGGTGAGACTGACTTGGCTCTAAGCAGACTGACGAAGCACACATAGCAAGAGCACCACACCGGCGGGCAGGTTTCTTTGGAAAGCCTGCGCACCAGCGGTGGCTCCCACAACATCACGACACTTCGACAAATTACCGATGCAGTAGCTGGCATGTATCAGTGCACCCTGTCAGACCGAGTCTACCTGGCTGGTGAAACTGCTTGGTGATACAGGGGTTTCTTGCAAAACTTCTTCGACCACGCGAAATACCATCCATAGTGCATTTGCTGCCGAAGCGTACAGAGGGAACACTTTGCAAGAGACACTGGAACGGTGAGACTGTTTGCTGTTTGAACTAAACTTGAGATATAAGTCTACAGGCGGATGACTGAACGGAACACATATGTGTCCGCAGTGAGCTAGCTTGGATAGTACATGGTCATGAAACCATCAAATTCAGTCATGTACCGCCAAGTCCAACTCGCAGGAAAAGACTGCAAACCTGGCAATCATGAATAGCATCACATGCCAGCCAACATGTGCTTCACCATGGCTAAACTCACGAAATCGCACCAAATGATGTCACTTTTGATTTCAAAAACCTTTTCTACGCCTCCACCACAGAAGTCCTTTCGCCATCTGCAAGGTTTGGGTGTATCCCAACATGTCAGATGTAATTCGCGGCATCGGCGACAATTGCCATACACATTGTGATTTTGCATTACGAGCATTCCCCAATGTGAGTCTCCGACTGCCTTTGCAAAACAAACCAGAGGAAATCCATAGCAGTTTACTAGCACGTCCCGTGCTTCTACTCAGTACTCTTCGTGAAAGTGGTGCATAAAACCGTCTGGATCCCTCTCTCGCTTCACGCCACTCAAAAAAACGCTCATTTGCAGTACAATGAAAAATCGCACGCCGTAAGAATCACACTGCTATAACAAAACGAGGATAAAATCAGGCTTCGCTACCGTCACACGCCGTGGCTGTAGATGCATCCCTTCCGGAGCCTAGTAGTCAATGGATCCAGCGCCAGAGCCCCTGCGCAAATCAGGTCTGAGACAAGAAACTGTAGGCCATTTCTGGCAGAATCTTCCAAACTCTCAGCACTACTGAGACCCTGCGGCAATCAATCCGCTCCATACCTCGGCGGCGCGTTCACAGAGCGGATGTTGAACTTGGCCTGGAACAGTCCGCATGGCACGTCATGGGACTCCCATGTCCCAGGAAAACATGCCTTCCAGAAAGGAGAGTCGCTGGAGATCTTCTCCTGCACAAGTTGAGATTTAGAACGAAAGGCGTGAACACTTTCATGAGTGCATGGCAATGTACTGATCCTTGGTCTGCTTCTCCATAGTCAATCGGAGGTCTTCCAGATCGTTTTCCTGCTTGTCTCTTGCAGGCCACTTGATGCAGACAAGAACCTGAGCGTGTCCGTGCCTTCTTAATGGTTGCTTTGATAGCATCGCATCGATCGTAGATCTCCTTGATCTGCTGCTCATACATGTCCTGAAATCAACCCAAGCCTGGCCACAACGACCCAAAACACTCTCTTCTTCACAGAAGTTGATGGGCTGAAGCTGCACAATATCTGTCTTGCAAACTCTGCAATCTTCCAAAAAGTAGCAGTCCTTCTGCTGTTGCAGTTCCAGCAACTGTTTCATGCAGGAATCAACCTCAACAGGAGGAAAACTGTGACCTTCTCTAAGTCAATACAGTGCGGATCCACTTCACGCACCTCTTTTTTCATCAAGTCTCTGGTCTTCTGAGCACAGTTGTTCGGCAGGGTTGCCTGCAAGAGCCACGAAGACGAAATGCGAGCTGATCTTCAAATCATGCTCCACATCATTGCAAGAGAGTCCTGGCGGTGTTCTGCTGTTAGAAGCGCCTTGTACGTGTTTCTCCACCTCATCATGACAATCCGGATGCATGACAGCCCCAACACTCTAAACTTCTCAGCATTAGCTGAACTTTCATGCTTATTGTGATTTCCTGCTGTTACTTGCCTAGAAACCAGAAAAGCAGCAAGCTTGGGGCTGAGCGTATAATCAATGATCTGCTGGTCATAGTGCAATCGGATAAGCTTTTGGGACATCAAGGCACACTCCTTCCACATCATCGGATGGCTCTTCTTCGGCTGTTGCCGCAAAACCCTGACTGAATCATCTTGCTATGATTAGCGCCTTGATGTACCGCGGATCATCGATGTCAATCATACCTGATGTCCGCCCAACGCACTAGAGTCACTTAGTGTCGGCTCTTGACGTTGATATTGAAGACTGGTCTGCTCACATAATGCTCCCGAGCGTCTGTATCCATATTTCTCCTTGCCAAACATCTTTGGCAGCGGCCAATTGATTTGACTGTAGTCCTGTCCAGAACTTCAGTGACCGTGTCCCATGACAGGCGTAAAGCTTCCACGTGTGAGCCGCCTCTGCCAGCCATCCATGGAGGTTGCCCGTGCTGCTTGGCAACTTCCTGCTCTCTGACACGGCTGAGCCCATGTGAAACTTCCTATGCCTATGCCAACGAAGAGTCCAAGATCGAATCTACCCACGTGTCAACTTTGACGTTCCTGAAAGAACTTGTGAAGCATTTCAGCATTCTGGCCTGAATTTCGTCAGGTTGGTTACGTTGAGATACTTCGGAAGCTTCGGCATCTCAATATCCTCATGTCAAGCTTTTCCACGTTGGTCTAAGCGTTGGCCGGTGTTGGAACAACATCAAGGTCATGGGACTGAGACGCCAGCAGCAGCCATCGGACTTGTGATGGTAGCCTGGCCAAAGATGCGGCAGCAGTCATGGCTGGCTGATTTCGCGGAGACGAGCGGGCAAGAACTGCTCACAAGGCCTGGCCGGATTTCTGCAAGGTTCCGCTGCTAAAGCTTTTCTTCATTGTGCCTGTGCTCCTCAGTTCCGCACAACTACTCAGAAATGCCACTTGATCGAGCTCTGAGCTCTCTGAGAACGCAACTGTGGTGACAGAGCTTGAGGCGACATGGCCTGGAAGCCGAGAGATGAAGAACGAAGGCTTCTGTCAGGCTTCAAACTGGGCTCCGGGTCCGCCTCTGGCTTCGGCTTCAAACGCCCAGCTCGTTTCTACTGCTGGAACCAAACGGCGGAAGAATGTGAAATCATTCAAGTGCTACCACCAAG